GTTGCCTCCCACACACACCCTCCTGGGGATCGAGCCTGAGCCCGCAACCTGGGCATGTGCCCTGACTGGGAATCAAACCACTGGGCCACACCAGCCAGGCAGCTACATAATCTTAAACATCCATTCTATGCTAGATTTTCTGAAAATAAACCTTGTATTTGGGATGTCATAAGTATTTAATATAAAATTCACAAATTTTCAAATTGACAAATAATTTGAAAAAATAAAATTAGAAAATAATATCTATGCCCCCAACATAAAAATATACAAAGAGACTAAAAACAACAGCAACAAAACTTAAATATAGCCTAAGTGAAAGTATCAATGAATTCAGTTATGAAATTCCTTTCATTCTTTTTCTAAATGGTTCTTTATTTGACTGTTAGATAACAAGGTGATTCTGATGCACAGCCAGGGTAGAGAACCACTGACCTATAGTATAACACTTGAAAATCTTAACATGACTTTAAAAATCCTCCATGTTCAGGAGATTTATATTGTAATCCCAGTTCTGCTGTTAGGCAACCTGGGTATCATCACTTCCTCTCTCTGGGCTCAGTTTCCTCATATGTAAAATGAGGGATCAGCACTTTCCCGGTTAATGTTTCCATTCCAGTCTCAGGGTGATTCTAGGCCTTTTTCTATCTTTATATTTTAGTTAATGCTATATTTTACTCTCACTTGTTTAATAAATACTTTAGTTAAACTGAATTGACATTTAATAGTTACTGAAACACTAAAAGGTTTGTAAAAAATATTTAATTTTCTATTTTGAGTAATTTTCCCTTTTAAGTATACAGGTGTGTATGTTAAGTGGGACAAAATTAATATTAGATGGCTTCACATCCGAGAAAACACCTGAGAAGTGCCAAAGGTTTTGAACTTTCAAACTAATGGTCATTAATAAACTTATTAAAAAACTAAATTACTTTTTAAATATTTCAATTATTTAAGAGCATTGCAATGTGTTGCAGGTTTTTCTAAAAAGTAAAATTATGCACAATTTTAATTTCTGGATTTTGTAATTTCAGAGACCACCATTTGATTTGTAATGGAATTGTATAATACACATAGCTAAAAATCAAAGGTCTTGTCAGCTATGATTTAGAGATGAAATTCAATTGCTGTTCAGCATCTTCATAGGGAAGAGAAACCAAATGCTTTTGAACTTGGGTAAGGACCCTTTCAACATAGTCTATGAGGTTATGAAGAAAGTGTCCTTAATATGACAATCAACCTTTTCCCAGATTCTCATGTCCTTTCCCTTAGTTTTCAGGAATATTATCACAAAAACATGGTGCTTTATTCATGCTACTCTCTGTAGTGATATGCTTCACTAAATCCACAAGAAAACACGTAGCTAATATGTCAAGGAGAACCATTTGGCCCAGACCGCACCAAAGAAACTCAAATTTGAATTTTTGACCTAAGTTAGAAATACTTAGTCTCAGAAGTATATTGTCAGGATTGAAGAAAAACAACATTCTTCATACAGTTTAAAATAGATCAGCCCGATCCATGTGGCTCAGTGGTTGAGCATAGACCCATGGACCAAGTAGTTCAATTCATGATCAGGGCACAGGGCACTTGCCCCAGTTTCAGGCTCAATCCCCAGTGGGAGGCGTGCAGGAGGCAGCCCATCAATGATTTTCTCTCATCATTGATGTTTCTATCCCTCTCTCCCTCTCCCTTCCTCTCTCTGAAATCAATAAAAACACATTTAAAAATAAAATCGGCCCTAACCGGTTTGGCTCAGTGGATAGAGCATCGGCCTGCGGACTCAAGGGTCCCAGGTTCGATTCTGGTCAAGGGCATGTACCTTGGTTGTGGGCACATCCCCAGTGGGGAGTGTGCAGGAGGCAGCTGATCCATGTTTCTCTCTCATCGATGTTTCTAACTCTCTATCCCTCTCCCTTCTGCTCTGTAAAAAATCAATAAAATATATTTTTAAAAAAATAAAAATAAAAAAAAATAAAAAAATAAAATCGATCAGACTGTTTAAGGTACCATATGAATAATTAATTTTCATATAAATTATATCATTAATTTTCTTGTGAAAAGTATAATTATATTGCCTTGTATTTTAGAACACGGGTTTTAAAATTATAAATGCACTAGTTTATTATTTGTGAACATTTAAAATACATCCCAATTTTTATAAACACAGTTTTGTCATTTTTTAAATACTTCAAAAAAAAGTGACTTTGGTTCCTCTCAATTTCTGAGAGAATGACTATACATGCTTCCTGAACACATATAATTGCACATATTCACTTAGCTGCCTCTCCAACTAGATTTATGAGTTACTCGCGAAGAGACCATAGTTCATGTGTCCTAAGTGCCTAGCACAATGCTTAACACAGAGTGGATGCTCCATAAATATTTATGGAGCTATGATCCAATACATCTAGCAAGCACAAAGGGGTTCCTCTCTGTCTTACTTCAGTACTTTTGTTCTCCTTTAGCTGGTAGTGGTAAACAGAGAAGTGCAGTTCCCATTAAGTTCTTACTGTTGCCAGTTCCAATTTTGGTCTTATTTTTGCCTTTTATTTCTAAAAAGAGATTACAACAACGTTTTGGGAATGTTTACTACGGACAAAAACAGAAATAAAGTTGTAGAGCCTTTTCTTATTTTAGTACCTCTTATTAAAATGGAAGTAATATTTTTGCATTCAATATAATATAAATACCATGTATATAAGTATATAAAGAATATAAAATAATGTAGGTATAATATAAAATTGCTTTTCTAATTTATATGGGTAGTTATCCAAAGACAAAGATACCTATTTTTAAAGGTAATAGCTTCACTTTAGTAAAAACATGGGGAAATTTATTGGAAAAGTATGGATTTCTCATCATCTCATACAAACAACATGTATTTGCTCTTCATGATGCATTTTTCTTGGCTCAAACTGGAAGGGCTTTTAATGACTAACTCAAAAGTTTTAATTGTTCTCCTGAAAAGATCAAAACCTGGACTCTCATTTGTCTGAAATGTTATAAGTATAGATATCTATACTAATAAAAGGGTAATATGCTAATTAGATCGGGTCGACTGGCCATCTTCTGGATATCCGACTTCCTTCTGGACAAAGCCATGGTGGTGGAGGCCAAGGCAGAGGCATTTAGGGGTGATCAGGCCAGCAGGGGAGGGCAGTTGGGGGCGAGATCAGGCTGGCAGGGGGTTAGGGGCAATCAGGCCAGCAGGGAAGGGCAGTTGGGGGCGAGATCAGGCCGATAGGCAGAGGGGTTAGGGGCAATCAGGCAGGCAGGCAGGTGAGTGGTTAGGAGCCAGCAGTCCCAGATTGCGAGAGGAATGTCCAACATCCCCCAAGGGCCCCCGATTGGAGAGGGTGCAGGCTGGGCTGAGGGGCCCACCCCCCCTCCACGAATTTGTGTACTGGGCCACTAGAGGGAATAAATGTTAAGAGCGTGAAACAGTGACCTCTAAAGATTTTTTACAACCGTATGATTACATGAATTTTTACTCTCATACAGAAACTCCAACTTACTGTACTCGTTTCTGGGAATATTCCCCTCATTCAAGGTCCCAGCAACAGGGCAGGGGCTAGAGCAAGGCAAGTGAGGCACTCACTTCAGGCATAAAATTTAAGGAAGCATTAAAAAACTCAGTATTAAAAATAAAAATATTTAATACAATACTTTCAAAAATAAAAATCAATGCAAGAACAATCCTTGATGAACGTCAACAAAAAAGGCCAGATCAGACTCTGTACTTGTACAACCTTGCCTCACTCTAATTCTTTTACTTACAAAAAAAATTTTTTCCCCCCAAAACAGGTGACCAGCCAGAGGGCTGGCTGTACTTTGTCCATTTGATTTTTTAAAATATTTCATTAAAATATTATTTATCTTGATCACTGAATTTTTGGTGTTTCCTTAAATTTTGCACCCCTGGCAAATGCCCCACTTGCCTCACTGTAGTTCCAGCCCTAACCAGTGACCAAATATAATTTTTTTTTTTTTTTACCTGTCACACCACCGATTGAAGCAAAGCAGCACAACACGCTGCTGCCTCACCCAAAAGCGGTGTTTTTCCTTTGCCCTTTCTTGACGGCTCAGTGGGTCATCAGCAAAACCAAATATAATTTTTAAGCCATTTTAATGCCACAAAATATTTCGGACCTTATGTTGGAGGTAGGCGTAGGTGGCAAGCAGCAGGGACTATGGAATCACAGGGACTATGGAATCACAGGGACTATGTTTTAGAAGAATAAAGCCTGTTGATACTTATCATCAAACTAGAAGCCCAGCGTGACAAATCATAAAGTCCCGTCCACCCGCCCCGCCCACCCGCTCCAGTCTGTCTTTGGTCGTTATAGCGTTAGGGCCACAGGCCTTTTATAATATAGTTTGTTAAAAACACCTTAAAAAACAAACAAACAAGAAAATGTCTTAGGTACTATTCGTGGTCATTCCCCCTCAGAGGTAAGGGGGTAGGGAGATAGGTAACTTCTTCAACCTCATAAAAGACATCCACAAAAACCCCATAGTTAAAATGATGATTAATGGTGAAAGACTGAAAGTTTCCCTGCTAAGATCAGAAACAAGTCAAGGATATCTCCTATTTAACAATTCACTGGAAATTCTAGCCAGGGCAATTAGTCAAGGAGAAAAAAAAGGCAACCGGATGTAAAAGCAAGAAGTAAAACTCTATTCTTAGATGCCATGAACTTGCATGCAGAAAACCCTAAGTATACACACACACTAATAAACAAGTTCAGAAAGATTGCATAATCAGAAAGTATGTGGTACTGCAAGCCTGTGGATGGACCCTCACTGCAAGATTTGTGGTAGCTCTTTGAATTTGAGAGAAGCAGAGAATCTGTCCATCACATCAAGAACATAAGGTTTTATTCGCCAGGAATGCTAACAGCAAAGAGTAGAATGGGTTCTTCTAAGAGCTATGAAAGACTCTTGGATAAGCTACCATGTGTCGCTCTTGAAGCTCCCTCCCTACAATGACTGTCCTCCAGTACTGGTGCTGAGATCTTCATGTTCGACCCTCTCCCTGAGCCAGTGCTGATCCCCGCCATGTGCCCCAGTGCCTCCCAGCCTTACAGTCCTCTACCCACAAGTGGTCCGGCGCCAGCTGCTTGCCGAGGATCTGCATCCTGCCAAAAGGCTCCTCTTTCTCCCGCTCACCATCGTCTTCTGCCAGACCTGAGGCTGAAGAAACTGGGCGCCCTGGCCCCAGAGGATGCCCCCAGCGCTGTGTCCCCCATGTTCATTCCCGCACCCGCAGCCCTCAAGCCCCTTAATCTGACAGCAGAGCCCTCGAACAATGCTCTGGATCGCGGAACTTTTCTTCAGGAACACCTAGCTGCCTTCTAACCGTGACTCCCCACAGCCCCCAACAAGAATCTGAAATAAACACTAGGTGTATCTGGTGTGCAAGGCGCATCCCAAACTGGGATTCAGGAGGCAACTCTCAACACTACCGGGGAACCGCCAGCCCGAGCCTGGATGGGACAAGTGCAGACACGCCAGGCCAGGCCTATGGGGGAAGGAGAGCTGCGTTAATTTATGTCTCATTGCTCCTAATTAATATTTACATGTATTTATGTATGCCCCTAGGTGATGGGGGGGTATGTAATATTTATATAACTTATGCAAAGGTGCGAGACATTCTCGCTGCTGCACATGGGGGTCTATTTATGGAGCTTGGTGGGATTGGTGGAGGTGCCTAGAACCCAGGGAGGTGGGAGGGAATGGAGAGGACGGGCTGGAGGGCGCCTAGGCTGGATGTCAAGGACGGTGGTGGGTCATAGGTTTAGGGGGTGACACCCTCCGTCCTCCAGTATCTTAACTCCCTGGGTCTACTCTTGAAGGCTCCGGAGGACCGACCATTGGGAATGAGCTCCTTTGTGGGAAACAGCCTATTGTCTTCTCTAGCAGAGAGGTGTGGACAAGGAGCCCTGAATGCTGGTGGTCCTTGAAGCCCTGGCAAAGGTCAGGGTCATGCACCCACTGTTTAGTCCAGACAATGGTAGCTGAAGCAACTTCCCCATCTATTATTATGTAAATACTTGCTGATAAGATAGTCTGCCTGTTACTGGAACTTGCCTGCCTAAGGGCTATGGGTGGATCCCAAACTGAATAAAAAGATGGCGAGGCCTGAGCACAAGCATAGTCCATCCTCTTGGGATGGGCTCTCGCCTGGCCCCCCAATTTCCAAATTATCTCTTGTCTTGTCTCCTTCATTTGTGGCCAGCCCCTCTTCCATACCCTGAACCCTGATCCACGCGGGACATGGGGGGAAACAAATATACACTTTACACACTCCTTGGCCTTCTATCTCCTCAAAGCTGCCCCCAAGGGATGTTTATGGGTTGAGAGGTGGGGGCTGTCAGAGGGCGGCTGTGGGGGTCACGCAGTATGTTTTGTGTTCAAATAAACTTGATTTGCTGTCAGAAAAAAAGTCATAACTGACTAGGTAGTGGATGCACAGAAGAGACTCCTTTTAGAAAGAGCTGGAAAAAAGTGGGCGAGTCTTTGTGTGTGAGTCAAATTCCTGATTGGAGACCTGGGAAGCGGAATACACCAGGCTCCACCCCTTGGGCCTTAGCAACCGAAGGGAGAGACTGTGATTGGCCGATGAGTCTGGTAAAGGCCCCAGCAAGCCCCCAGAGGGCACCATGTGGTGCACAGCCTGCTCAGTGGGTGTTGCAGTTAAATCCTGAGGAGGAGATGGCTTTGCTTTCCAAAAGCACCCACAGACCCTAAGAATTTGGGGAAGATGTCTTTTCTAGATATGTCTCTAGGCAGGGAGGTTCAGAACCCAACTGAGAGCAGCCCTTCTGTCAGGCAGTCTGCTGGAAGATTGAGAGGCACGCTCAGCTCAGCTCAGCTGGGAGGCTTGTCACCACCCCAAAGCGGATAAGAATGGCGGCTAGGCCCCTGCCTCTCTTCTCAGCTCTCATTTTCCTGCCCCTCCGACTCTCCCCTGACAGGTGGGAAAATGGCCACTGGCCTTCATGGGGGAGTAAGGATTGCTGAGAGAGTATGGGCAAGGGGAATAAAAAAATGGCTACCTCCATATTATTCCCTTTCCTAAGGAATGCCAGCAAACTACCCACTCCCTTCACACAAATGGGACCACTCGCTCTTCGGAGTGGAGTCCTAGCACGTGGCATAAATGTCTGGGTGCCAGGGTAAGGAGCAACCTTAGCTGTTTGGCAGGAGCGGTAGTCGGCAACATGCCCCTGCCTGGGCAAAGTGGCGATTTTATTTGCCTGTGCTTTCTTTTTTTGATGACTTCCTTAAAAATGTGTCCATGACATTTTAAAAGGGTTTAATCTCCATCATTTACAGGGAACTCAGATGAGTGGATTAGAAAACTGTGGTACATCTACACGATGGAATACTATGCTGCTGTAAAAAAGAAGGAATTCTTACCATTTGCAAGAGCATGGATGGAACTGGAGAGCATTATGCTAAGCCAAATAAGTCAGTCAGAGAAAGATAAATATCACACAATCTCACTCATTTGTGGATTATAATGAGCAACATAAACTGGTGAACAAAAACAGATCCAGAGACAGAGAAGCATCAATCAGACGTCAAACCTCAGAGGGAAGGGTGGGGGTTAGAGTTAGGGGGAGAGATCAACCAAAGGACTTGTATGTATGCATATAAGCATAACCCATGGACAAAAACACCAGGGGGTGAGGGCATGAGTTGGGGAGGGCAATGGGGGGATAAGGACACATATGTTATACCTTAATCAATAAAGAAACACGGAACTATTCCTCATATCGCCTAAATACTGCTAGTACACACTATTGTTAAATGTTAGAGGAAACCTATTTATCATTTCAGAGGTTCTTCAGAGCAAATGAAAGTAAAATTAATAAATTTTGAGAGTTAAAAACTTATTCAAGTTGTTACAGAAATCACAAACGTACATGTCTGAAGAAATTTTAAAATGTAAATTATTTAACTACTAGAGGCCTGGTGCATTAAATTCGTGCATGGGGGGGGTCCCCTCAGCCCAGCCTGCACCCTCTCCAATCTGGGATCCCTCTCCCAATCCTGGACTGCTGGCTCCTAACTGCTCATTTGCCTGATCCCCTCTAACTGCCTCCTCTGCTGGCCTGTTTGCCCCCAACTGCCCCCCCCCCCGCCGCCAGCATGGTCATGCCTAACTGCCCCCCCGCCAGCCTGGCCGCCCCTAACTGCCCCCCACCATCCTGGTTGCCCCTTACTGCTCCCCCTGTTGGCCTGATCGCCCCCAACTGCCCCCCTCTGCAGGCCTGGTTGCCCCCAAATGCCCCCCACCAGCCTGGTCGCCCCTCACCGCCCCCTTCTGCCAGCCTAGTCACCCCTAACTGCCCCCCACCTGCTGACCTGGTCACCTCCAACTGACCCCCCAATGGCCTGGTCACCCCTCATGCCCCCCTGCCGGCCTGGTTGCGTCTCATGCCCCCCTCTGTGGGCCTGGTCTCCCCTAACTGCCCTCCC